CAATTACTAATCTATCATCAATATACATCAGTACTATACTAGGGCCACACTGACTTTTCCACTCATTATAAATTCAACCTTCATAGGTCATCTTTTAAGTAGCTGCCAATTATGAATAAGGGTTTGTTAAGTATTTGTTTATCTTAAAGTTTACCACTAAGAGTGTAATTAAAAGTACAGTATATTATAGGTTATAGATGATAATTATTATTAAAACTAAAAGTATATTCAAATAAAAGATAAAAATAATCAAATGTCATTGTCAGTGTCAGTAACAACCACAAAATCATTGAGAGCAGAGTTAGAGTTTTGGGTGGCATTTAACTCACTGGTGGAATCATCTGATTCATCACTGGATTCATCACCAACATGAATAACAAACTCAGACACACTAAATCTTGCATGTACATCAAGTCTGTCATTCTGCCAGTAGTGGTCCTCAACTTTATCTCTGACATGTTTTACCAAGCCAGCCCACCGCTCCTGAGTTACCACCTCAAAACCCTCCCATGCAAGACGCTCAACTTCATTAAGAGTGAACTAAGAGGTGTTCGCCTTTATGTGGCCCTTAACCTGTGCCCAAGCCAATTCAATTGGATTGAGCGTACAGTGGGCCACAGGCAGACGAACAACCTCATGTCCAGCATCTAGATCCATTTTATCAATAACATATTGTTTAGTGAAGCCCATCCTTCTGGTAGCGTCTTGTATGATTGAGAAGAGTTGTGACTTAGTGCTATCAAAACCAAACTCTACACCATAAAACACTAGCCACTCAATCATCTTGGACTTAGTCCAACTTTTTAAAGGCATCTCTTCCTCAATCCTTGAATGATATGAGGCATTATCCATAACAATAAGACTATTAGGAGGAACATTTGGGAGCAACTTCTCACGAAACCACTCCTCCAGTCATTTCATCATGGTAATCGCCTGTGTCTTTCTTGGATTGGAAGATGAGAGTAGTGTTGGGGATCCAACCCATCTCACCTCCCACTCCAAGAATAATAAGACGCTTACCCTTACCAGATGGGCGCCTCCTACAGGGGCGTATCTAGGAATTGGGGAAGGGGGTGCTGAGGGCGCGCGAAGCGCGCCGCGATTTTGGCCACACCCACTTTTACGGCGGTATAACGGCCTTTTCCTGCATTTTCATCAATTACGGGTGGGGCCAAGATCATTTCAAGCATACTGCTATGTTACTGGTACTTCTGATTGCTCCTTAAAGCACTGGAAACTGCTGAAATCATGATCAGGGGGCTAGATAACTTTGTTAAGAGGCTTGGTAGTGATGCAAGAGTCCAGGACTTCAGTAATTTTTTCTGAGCCCAGCCCTGAGGGGGGTGCTCAAGCCCCCTCAGCCCCCCCCCCCTAAATACGCCTCTGTCCTACCACCTAAAGTACCCCCTGTTACAGTATCATCTTCAACCCAGGCCAAATCTTTGCCATCATGGGCATTGGCCCAAGTTTCATCAAGAAAGACTACTGGTTTATTGTCGGCCCAATTTTGCACCATCTTACACAGGTAATCTCACCTCTGATCAATGATATGTGGCTGCTCATAATAATAGCGTCTGTCGTCCACCCTCTTATACTTAAACCCCATTTCCCTCATTAGTCGTTGTAGCAGTGTCCGTTGTCCTTTAAAAATTCCATCTTTATGTAGAGTATCCAGTAATTTAGTCAACATCAAATGTTCCTTCCATTCATTAAAACCATAAATAGTCTGCCGTATAATGTCAATATTGAAACTGTCCGTAGTAACTTTTCGCCTAGTGTGTTTGTATCGTTGTCGGGGAGAGTCAAAA